TCCTAAATTTTTTAAGTTAGGAGCACAAGTGCTCCTAAAAAGAAAAGTAAGTGTAGAGCCCTGAATTGATGCCATAAAATCATGAGTATGTTTTGATTTAAAGGTCAGAAGCTATAGCTTACATGAACAAAAAAAAAATCATATATACTGATTTATTCATTAATGTGTAATATGTTATATTTTTAAAAATAAATTATGAGCTCTAAAAGATTTTCAGAATTTTTACAACTCTTTTGCTTTAGACCATTTACAAATGTTAAATCATAAAATAAAATGTTATGGTTACCACTGCATCTTTCGGGGAAAAAAAATGCAGTGTTTAATATGTAGTTATTTTCAAATCTTCAATGTACTGTAATTATAAAATAACTTTATTATGGTTTATTTAATGCTAACAAATAAGTTCTTGTTAAAAACTAACCAAAATTAAAAATAATTATATATCGGTATCGGCTATCGGCCAAAATGAGTTGAAAATTATCGGCATATCGGATATCGGCAAAAATCCAATATCGTGCATCCCTACTATGATCATGCCTTCGCTCTTACCCTGAAGAACAGTGGATTTCCGTTCAGAGATTCGGCTCGTCTGATGTTCTCCACGCCACACTGAAACACACAGTTCAGTCACATTACAGCACATCTGCAGAAGCACTATTACATCTGCTTTATTGACCACACACACACAAAACTACATTTTTTCATTAAAAAGAGTCTAATTGCATAATCAAGTATGTGTTGATCGACAAAAACAATCTAGTTTTATGCTTTTGTGTTGCGTTCAGTGTTATTTTAGTATCACTGAGATGCTATTATAGTGTTTGTGAATATTTCTAATTAGATTTTATTTTTATATTTTGTTTTCATTTTAATTTTAGCTAAAGTTTTAGTCATTTTGTTGAGTGTTTCCGCCATTTTTATTAGTTTTTGTTGTTTTAAAATATGACTGTTAGTTTTACTTTATTTAGTCTTGGTTATTTTAGTACTTCAACCTGAACTAAACAAAAAATGAGAAATTATGCCTTGGCACCTAGCTGAAGTAAAATATTTTTTTTTTACTTCTAAGAAACCTTGACTTAGAGAAAAATTCAAGATGGTTGATGAAGGCAAGAATATAAAATGTTATATTTAATTAAAAAAAAATAAAAAAAATAATAATAATTGAATAATTTTCGATTTTTAAATACATATTTTATTATAGATAGAGATAAAATAATAATTATATAAGATAAAACAAATTCATAATTTCATATATAATATTATAATATAGAATTACATATTATATAAACTATGTGAAATAATGAGTATTTCTATTATATAAACAATGTACGTAATATTTATGTACACACACATACTTTTTTCACTTTCAATTCGAAATTTATACATCATATAAATGAATAAACGAGCTTTCCATTGATGTATGGGTTTGTTAGGATAGGACAATATTTGGCCGAGATACAACTATTTATTAAATCTGGAATCTGAGGGTGCAAAAAAATCTAAATATTGAGAAAATCACCTTTAAAGTTGTCCAAATGAAGTTCTTAGCAATGCATATTACTAATCAAAAATTAAGTTT